TTAGTCCAAGTAGCGAAATAAATATTCCAAATTACTTTATATAACACACTTGCATCTGGAAATGATCCATCTCTACACTGTCGTTTTTGGAGGAGTATTTAAAAAAAGATCCAAACAACCCTCAAATCAAAGCTGGGTGACTGTTTAGGCAGCAGCTGTCCCACTTGGGTGTCTCCAGGCTATAAATGTGCCACAATTTTTTTGGCGCTTCCTAATTTTCTGGAAAGAGGGAGGTGGGCTGGAGTGACATTTCTCCCACTCACGGTAATCCCTGTGCTAGTTTACAGAGGATCCTCTTCAAAGCTCACAGTTCTGGCTTTAAAATCACTTGCCTGGCACGGCCGCCTGAAGCAGCTGTGCTGGGGGACATGCTTTCCCAGTAGGACTGAGCAAAGCCCCAGGAACAAACACAACCTGGTCCAGTGGGAAAGATGTTTGGACTTGCGAGGAGCATCCAGAGTGCTTTGATCTTTGTCCAGATGTTCCTCTGAGTTGCATATGAAGTTGGTGTCAGTTTGAGCTGTGGTACAGCCAGGACTAAATGACACTCATGCAGTCACCAGGGGGGAGAAAAAGTTGATCAGAGGGTTAGAGATTGATGGCCTGAAGCTTGTGAGCATGGGCCAGCTCTTACGTGAACCTGAGTTTGATTTATGGCTCGGGGTTGACCCCATGCGGCAGTCATCAACAACCTGACAAGCCCTAGTGGTTTCCATTGCATCTTGCGCGGAGTTTTTGGGTTCCCAGGTGTACAAAATTTGCTCTGCAAGCCCTAGAGGAGCAAGAGTTGCAACAGTTCTTCAGGGTACCCGGCAGCAGGAGTGGGCAATTATTTTGGGCAGAGAGCTGCTTACCAAGTTTTGGCAAGCCATCGAGGGCTGCATGATGGGCAGCCAGGGGCAGATAAATATTAATTTTCTACATTTTTTTAGGGGTCCCATGGGCCAGATAGAATGGCCTGGTGGGCCACATCCGGCCCGCGGGCTGCATTTTGCCCACCCTTGCCCTGCAGGCTGTGACTGCACTTTCTCACGGCACAGGTAAAGTCGAACTTGCTGAAGCATTTACGCTGGGACTTTTCACGGGAAGCTAAAGGACCCATCCTCCAAATTCCCACTAGCTAGCGGTCAGTTCAAGTCCCCGTTTTAGACCTCCCATGCTGCCTGTAGTTAGCACCTCCTTGTTCAATGCAGCCCCTAGACGGTCAGCACTCGGTGTTTAAGATGTTTGACAAATCAAGGCAGTGCCACAAAGAGACGGTTACTTTAGCAAGCATTTCCTGCCTGCCATCACCTAAGGTTCAGTCTTAGGTACCAAGTCTAGAAGCCAATTGCTGAATCCCCTAACAAAAGGTTTGGCCAGTTCTACAATGACGCCTTGCTCAAGACCTCGGCTTCTGATGTGTTCGACAAGCAGCTTGAGACAGCCCTCGCCCCGTCTTGTTCCAGCATTGAAAATGCATATTCATATATATGGCTGTCTCTCATATATGTATAGGCAGGCAATGTTCTTTGAGTAGATGTGATATCTTTTATTAGGCCAGATGATTAGCTGGTAAAAACTGTCTGCTTTCATTGTTTCCTTTGATTCTTTCTCATATTCTTTGTTTCTGGTGAAGCCACAACCTATTGCCACTCAGGTTATGTCCTCAAAAATGACCATTCCTAAGCATCACGAGTGTCAAAAACAGGGCTTGCCTATCCATGATGGGGCCAAGCCAAAATCCTATCAAGACAGCCTCCCAGCCTTGGTAAAAAGCAGAGTATAGTTTTGTTCTCAAATCTTGCCTCGTAGATGAGGCACTACCATGGAGAAGCCAGGAGGGTTGTGGTCCAGACCAGCCCCCGGTTATCCCGACTCGCATCTGCTTTGTGAAATCTTAAATAAGAATGAGCATCACCGTGTTGACTTACACAACGTCTGTTGGGGACTTCTGCAAAGTCTGTTGTGGAGTTGTGTAATGTGCTTTTTCTGCACAGAGCCTCCTGCTTTTAAAATACCTGTATTTCCCAACTTTTAGGATCGCCGTGGTTACTTTATCCACCTTGTGATGCTGCTGTTGGGTGGATCATTCCAGCCGCTCCTGCCAAGCTTAGCTCATTGATGAAAGTAGCACCGTGATGAGGCAGACCCTGCCTGGGTCTATAGGGGCGGCTAAGGACAGAGTATCAGGTTCTGCCCAATATGAGCAACCTCAGCTTGCTTTGTTCATCTTAATGAAACCTGAGCTACTTGGGAGGAGACGAGACACTGAAGTCTATGGAGGAACACAGAGTGCTTGAGCAAAAATCAACCTTGAGTACATTGGTTTTGGCTGTCCCCAATCTTTGCTTGCATGCTGCCCCTTACTGACCGATCTGGGCACTGCACTTGTGTTTGAAATACTTGTCTGCGTGTTATCCTGACGTGACCCGATGCCAGGTGCACCTGAGTGGGATGGTGTTTTCTCCTTGTCTTGACTTAGATGAACTTGTCTGTCTTTGCTGGGGATTTTTTCTAGGCGGTGAATGCATCTTACTCTCTCTCTTTCACAGAGCAGATGCACGCTCATAATGTTGAATAACCATAACCCTAATTGGGTCTAAAGTCTTCCCCAGTTCAGGCCCACTGAAATCAGTAGTTATATCAGAGCTAAGCATGCCACATGGAATTGCATGCCTCTAGCATGTTAATGTTTTCCCATGGACGAAGCTGATTAGCAGAGAAAACGCTTTCACATTTATGACCAATTTGAATCTCAAGCAGGTTTCATGCTGCTGTTTCTCATCAAATGTAGTATTTCCCATTTAATCCTCCACCTGATTTTCAATCATTGCCTTGAAATCTCTCTCTCTGCCCCTCTTTTAATGCTGCTTGGCCTTATGATAGAAGAAAGGTCTTGTAGATGTGAAAATACGACCTCAGAGCACCTCAACAGCTGAACAACTCGAATTCATCTTTTACTATTTCCTACTGCATGTATTTAAATCTGATTCCTTTTTTCCTCTCTCTTTTCCTTTTCTTCTTTTTCTTTGAGGTCTGACTCATGAATTATTTTTTTTTAATGCTTAGGATGATAATGCGGTAATACTGCATCAACTTTTTTAGCAAAATAAAACATTTTTGTTTTCGTTGAAGCTGTTGCTTAAACAAAACCACCACTGTTAATTTTGGCTCCATTCAAGAGGGAAGTAGGTAGAATAAAATGTATTTAGTGGCACACACAGGACCAGGCCATTTTCTGTTCTTTTGAGCCTGATTTTTAATTTGGCGCAGGCTTGTTTGAATGGTTAAGAACAAAGTGATGGAATCGTCCTTTCAAATAAAACAATGGAGTTTATATTTAGCAATTGCCTCTTTCAGTGAAAGAATTAATAGGCAGACGCTGCATGAAGTGGGCACAGAGCCCTTTATTTTTTTTCCATTGTTAGGGCTATATCTTCATTTTTCCGGACATGTCCCCTCTCCTAACATCCCCATGACAGCTATAATAATTATTTGCATGGACCAGTAGGGAAATGGAGAATAACTAATGTGTTTTTAGCTAACTTTCCATGCAGTTGTGATAAGCGCCCAGCCTCCATTGGCAAGCAGCAGGCATCCTGCAGACCGCCTCCCAGTCACCCCTTAGTTACAAGCGGAGATCATGGACATAGGACAGGTTTACACTGGTATAATTTGCATCTGTTTTGTACAGTGGTGCAAATTTAAACTGGGACCTGGAATGGACAGGGAATTATCTTGGAGCAGTTGATACTATTTGTGCTATTAGAGAGTCTCACCGCTAGGGAAAGCGGGGAGACGTACTGTATTTTCTCGCAGACCACATGATCCCAAACGAGACGCGCGTGTTGTGTTTGGGAAGGCAGAATGAAGAAGAAATGATTTTCCTGGAGTTATGGCTGCCTGGAGCATGGGCCAAACCTAATTGTCAGGTCATTCACCCTCCCTTTCCTGCTAAAATGTGGTCTCCGGGGGTGCATCTCTTACTTCGAGAAGAGCTAGAAAGTCTGCAAGGTTGTGAAACGGGAGGCAAAAAAAAGACCCGGTGAAATAGTCGCTTGATTAATGGAGCCTCCGTTAAAAAGAAGGGACCGTTGTTACTACCTGGGGAGTGACAAACAATGAGCCCTTAAGTCACCTGACTCCCTCACCTGCCTGGACAGAAATACCATTGCTGCTGCTGGTTGGTTTTGGAGCAGAATCAAAGTGGGGTGCTTGTATTCCAGGCAGAAATATCAACTTCCCCACTGAAGACATGCACCCCATTTTTGGGGCAGGGGGGTGGATTTTTGGGGAGAATTTGCATGTGATATGTCTGAACATTTGATAATATTGTGTTTTTTTTCACTTGAGCAGCTGTAGGGTAACAACCCTAGGACTGTTATTTGCATTGGAGGGTGGCTTAGTGCTGGTCAGGTGGCCCCTGCGTGGGTGTACATTATCCTGGTGCTGTTTTTCCTCAGGTAACTCCTGCACCAGATTCTTGGAAGTCCCACTGATGTCGGGGTTTCCATGGTGTGTCCAGGCTTAAGAAGCCAATGCCACTGCCCAGCTTGTGTTAGCAAACCTTTTACCCATAGGCATTGCAAATAAAAAAACCAACCCAGGACTTCTCTAGGACACCGTGGCTGTCCATCATGGTCACTTAGGATGGGACACAGGTTCTTCTACTCTAAAAGGTCTGGTTGCAACCAAGTGGAGTACATTAGACTCTCCATTAATGGCAAAAGGCTTAAGATGTAAAGAGTCAATATGATTTCCTCTCTGAAAGACGCTTATACCTACACATACTAGCCAATTCCTTCTCGTAATAAAGGATTTTATATGCAATCACATGATTTCCAGCAATGCTGTGTTGTTGGCTTTTTAACGTTTTTGACAGTCTTGTAGGTATTTTGATTGCTTTTGCAGGTTGTGTTTTTTTTTCCTGCAGCCTCCTGTTGCGATTTAAAAGGAGGGTGCTTTAAAAATATTGGTACTTATTACTAATCTTTTTTTTCCCAATTTTTTTTCTCTAGCTGGCACCTGAAAACACTCTGATGTCCTTCCAAAAGGCAGTGGAGCAGAAAATATATGGCGTGCAAGCTGACGTAGTGATAAGGCAAGTCTGTTTAACTTAGCTTCAAATGCAAAGGCTCTCTTTAGCACTGGGGCCAACCCAAATCCTTGCATCTGCTTTCTTTTGGCTCCCATTCTGTATTTTGCCTCTTCTTTTTTGCTGCCACATATGTAGTATCCTTTGGAAAGGGCTTTATGGTCATGTACCTCTGCTTGTAATTCAATCATTTGATTGGCATTTTGCTGGGGATTATCAAAGGGAGCTGGACTTTCCGTGTAGACAAGCAACTAATCTTCATTTCATGGCCCAGAATTCACTACAGGGTCCCTTTCTAGATAGGTTTCTTATTACAAAGAAAGAAAGCAAGAGTCTTGCATAGACTTGAAATCTCTGCTTATTGATCTGGCAGCCTTCTCCAGAGGATGACAGCAGAACTTACCTATAAGGAGCTACAAGCAAGTTTCATTTGCAGTGAAGGAAAATGAGGCTCCTCAATTATTTCCTTGCATTGTAACCTGCCACCCAGCTTATGCCAGCCTGGCTCAATTTTCTTGAGAACTTACCCAGCAATGCACAAAATCGTGTTGCTATCCCTTTGCTACGATGCTGAGGATAGAATATAATGAGATTCTTTTGTTGGCCTGTTCAAGTAAAAAAAAAAAAGATCAATCCAAGCAGACAAGGGTTTGAGTGGAGTGATTGAAAGCATAGAGTTACACTGAAGTAACCCAGGTTTTCACTCTAAGGGAAGTTTTCTACATTTACTATCCTCCTGTCTCCTACACTTCTTAAATATAAGGTTTTGAGACATGTAGATGGATGCATAACATTGCGCATATCGGTGGAGCTGATGGTGCATCCTCCATGCAAACTTGTGTCAATAGGAAGAGGAAATTTATTTTTGTGTGTGGCCGGGGTACGTGGCAGACCCGGCTGGATCCAGGGCCCCAGTGTTAGGAGACGAGGACAGAGTAGAAATATTATCCTTGCATTGGTTTGATTTAAGGCAGGGTGCAAGAGTATGTTTCAGAAAGGCCTGGATGTCGCAAGAGCGGGAGACCAGGCCTGTGTAAAAGTATTGGCTGTTTTTTTATGAAATCAAAAATAATCATTGCTGTGTGAAGGATTAGCAGTTCCTAGTGGCCATGTCTGAGCTTTAATATAAGGTCAAAAAATGCGCGGTGCTTCTTGAAAGAACGTAGACGAAATAATAGTAATGGTAGGCGTGCAGGTCACCGGCTGTTGTGATTTGATGTTGATGAGGATTGACCACTATGATCATCAACAACCATAGGACCCTTATTTGCATTGGAGAGTGGGTTAGTGCAGGTCAGGTATACATGAAAGCAAAATGGACAAGGTGGAAGAGGAGAAGGAAAAGAGCACAACTGAGCCACGTGAGGATTGGGTAGGAAGTCAGGACCCAATAGCACAGGAGATGGGAAGGCTTATAAAGGCACAGAACTGTCCTGTGTGCATCTTGCAGGACTATAAACACCAGAGCCAAGTTGAATCCATTGGAGACAGGTGACCTTGATTTCCTTCGTGAGCCTAGATGCTAACTCTGATTTCCCACCCCACACCCTAGAGAAAAATGTGGAATTTTGTTGAATTTTGCTGCTCCAGAAATGTATTGACCCTTTCTCGATTGTCTAATAGTGACACAGGCAGTTGCATATGGCGCTGATCAGGATGGTATCTGATACTAAGAAATGGCTTGAACTTCAAGTACAAGAAAAATACATAATTTCTATTTTTAATCTCCTAGGAGGATGGCTTTTAACTGAAAGGAAGCTCTCTGCAGTGAAAGATAGGCTTCTGGGTCTAGGAGTTCAAACATCAAGGATTCTTCTTTTCCCATTGCTTGAGAAGAAATGGATTTAAAAACTAATGGAATTTTTTCCTCCATAATGGGAAGTCGTTCTGCAGCGATGGAGGACAGCACAGGGGCGGTGATGGCTTAATCCCTTTTGAATCATTCAGAAGTTAACTCATTAACTGTGGCAAAGATAAAGCCTTTAGAAGCCCCGACTGCCTGCAAGAGATTATTTTGTTTCGTGCATCCAGGCTGATCCTGGGCGCTTTGCTTAATTATTCGAAAGGACCCTTTTTAGAAGAGCAGAGCTTGATGGTATCGCTCAAACACTCTGAGCGGTTCTCTCATCGCTGTACTGAAATGGGGCAGCCCTATGTCGGTTGGGCAGGTGTCTGGTGCCATCTACAGGAGAACCCAAACTCGTAAAGCCGTTTTCTTCCACTGAAATGGCTTTGTTTCCCCTAGTGGGAAGGTGAAGTTGCTACACGTTTTCTTGATAGCCTGTCCTGCCTTACTGCGGACTCATAAAAGTTATGGCCATCTCTCATTTATAAAGCTAGGGTTTTACTTATCCACGTGGTGCTTTTTACTGCTACTGTTTCAGTCTTTTTAGACTCAAGGCAGCCCTTGCTAGACTCAAGACCTCCCTCAAAAATGCCAGGTTGTATCTTTCACTGGTTTCTTGACTACAGAAAAAATACCGGGCATTTTTTTTTTTCCGTTGCAAAACACTTGGAAAGTCTAAAATAAGCGGGAATGTTTTGGCACTGTGGATTTCTATTTGAAATCTCAGGATTTATCTTTTGAATCCAAGGGGCATCTACACTTGTGGTGCTATTAGGCCAGAGTAAACTAATGAACTCTGCCATTGGATAGTACTGCCCGTGGGCAACTGGTGCCTCGAGTTGGGGGGGCACTTGCCCCCCACAGCGGTCAGTCAGCAACCAGGGGTGTCCCCCACACGGTAGATCGCACCGACTGCTGGCACTTCTGGGTGGGCATGATCAGCCACAGGGGAACTGTGGGGATCGCTTCGCCTGGCACCCCCACTCCCTGGCTGGCACACTTGGGGCGGCACCAGCGCTCTCGCCTGCCCCACCCCCAGCCCAGGAGTGCTGGCTGTCCGGGTGCACCAGCACTCTTGGGGGGTACACGTGCACCACCGTGCACCCCGTACGCATCACCACTGGTACTGCCTGACAAGAACTGTCCTATGGAAGAGTTATTTACTCTGCTGCAATGCACATGTAGACAGTGACTGGGGCTGGCTAGGGCCTGATAGTGCAACAGTGCAGGGGCTGTCTGCCCATTGGCCGCACACTGTAGCATCCTCATGACCCAACTAGCCTCTCAGCTGCACGTTGAGCTGGGGCAGAGCAGCTCTAGGCTGGCCCCCTGCACTCTCTGCCAGCTGGGGCTATGCCACCCTGGCTCAATGTACTGCTGTCCTGGGTGCACGTGTAAATGCTTTGCTTGGGAGCAATAAACACTGGTGCGAACTACACTGGAGTTTATTCAGGCATGCTAATTGCACATGTAGCTGTGCCCCCTATATAGGTGTTTGTACACCTAGTAGGGTGCAGTATCTCATGGCACCTTTAAAAGGATGTTAAGGCACCCAAGGGCTCTGCAGCACCCTGGTTGAGACTCACTGGTCTGTATAGTGCTATTTGCCACAGGGTTCAAGGTTTTCCAAATAACTTGTGTATGGGGCAAGAAGAGATTAGAGAAGGGAGAGACTGTTAAATACCCTTTCTCTTCAGTCTTGTGGCTTAAGGAGCGTCTGATGATGCTCAGCTTGAGAGATGTATTAAGTCTTAGGCTCCTATCTTCGTCAGACACTCAACACTCTTCATTCCTTGTTTGCCTGGCATTTGTCACCCAATTATAAAAGACCTCTGAATGTCTGATGTACAGTGCACCTCTGGTCATGGCAGGTGTTGTATCAGCATGCTGCTTAGGTGTGGGGTTGGTAATATTTCTAGCCTAAAGTAGATAAACTATGTAATAAGATGGGTGATATTTCAGATAAGGGCTTTCCACGGGCACTGGAAATGCTGGGACAGCATTGACGGTGTCGTCTAAAACTTTCTTTTGCTCCCTTTCCAGCTCAAGGCTAGACTCTTCATCTTGCCTCTTAATTTGAGTCAAGTAGGATTTGTTATTAACCTTGTCTGTATTAAGGACATTTTCTCTTGAGCGTCTCACTCCTTTCGGGGTTTTCACCCCCACGTTCCTGGCCAGCAGGTGACTGGATTCACGTGGGAGTATCTTTTCCTCTAAACAGCTGCCTCCGTTTCATCTTCCTCACTTTGCAAACCAGGACTTAGACTATTGATCTTTCTGAGGAGTTTGCAGTGGTGCTTCGGTTTAGGCTTCAAAACTCCACAGCAAAGAAACCTCGTCCTCAGGCCTAAGAACCTCCTTCCTTCTCCATCTTCTTTATAATGCTGGCACCTTTGTATTGGTCTAATATAAACACCCTGCTGTGGGCGTCATGGGTGTTGTATAACCAGTGCTATTTTATTTCATGAGAAAAATTATGCTCATGATATCTTCCACCTCCTCCATAGCTGCTTGCATGCACCTTGTCCTGCACATCTTTAATTTGTTCTGAAACCTAGCTTGTCTTTTTAAGAAACCTCCCATTTTCACCAGGAACTTGAGTGTACTTACAATCAGCCAATCTGTTCCCAGGACGTAATAAAGACGCATCTGTGTTTCTCCAGACCCCCAAAATGGACTTTTACTCCTCCATTTGAGCACAGCAGAGCCAATGCAAGCATGAAAAGGAAGGGGGGGTTTCTTTTCTTTCATTCTTTTTCTGGCTCCAACATAAGCAATAAAATTGCTTTCCTGAGTTGGATGTGGGATCTTTCGTGTGGGACTTGAATATTATTCTATGTAGGCATCCTGTTTTCAAGTTGAGTTTGCAATGATGCAGTTGATAGCTTTTGACAGTAGCACAGGATCGGCAATCGTATTTGTAACTAGATGTGAAGGAAGAACTCCAAGATTGGGTTGTATGCGACTGTGTGAACATTTGAATACATCTTAGCATCAGAAATACATTTAAAAGATTTTCCCCCCACCCTTTCATGTATATTACCTTTGGAGATCTCAGATATTCTTCATTGAGACCTCGATCACATTTTAACACTGGCCTACAAAGCTAGAGGAGGAAGACAGCAGAAGCTACTGAGCTGCTAATACGGTATGTGTTATGGTTAATGCCCATGAGTTAATGGAGATGTCCATGCGTTTTTGCAGCTATGACGGAGTGCCATTCCTCATGCACGATGAGACGCTCAGGAGAACGACAAATGTGGAGGAGGTGTTTCCAGAGCTGGCCTACAAACAGTCGTCCATGTTCAACTGGACGGACCTGGAGAAGCTGAATGCTGGTGGATGGTTCCTAAAGGTACCTACGAGTCCTAAAATGAAGTCTGATCCTACGATCTAGAGGAGGGAGACTGCGTGATTGTTTCAGAAGCCAGGACACTGGTTGAAAAGCTCACAATTTGGGTCCTGTGCCCCCTATATAGGTGTTTGTTCACTTAGTAGGATGCAGTATCTCATGGCATCTTTAAAAGGATGTTAAGGCACCCAAGGGCTCTGCGGCATCCTGGTTGAGAATCACTGGTCTGTATAGTACTCTGCAAAATAGTTTAATAACATGTGACCAGACTTGCCGTGTCCCGTACCAAAGAATGTCACTCTGCCAGCTTTGTTGATGCAATCTGGTAGCTGATGGTTCGATGCAGCGTTGTGGTCTGTACCAGTTTGTCAGAGAAGCAGTCTTTTTCTTGAGAGATTAATCAAGAATGGTCAGTGGCCTCACTCGGATTTGTACACAAGTGAATGTGCACACATTGGTCTGGTTTTGTGCATCCCAAAACTGCCTTGTGCGTGCTACCACCTGCTGTGAGGCAGCATAGGCCAAGGGAATAGGACAATAGACTAGGAGGCAGGAAAGAAGGATCTAAAACACAATTGCTTATGGATCTTGTTTTTCCTGTTTCCCCCACCTCTGAAATGGTGGAGATGGAGTATGCAAGTGCTAAGTATTACTGTTACTACTGTGAGTTGCTTTTTATTAGGCCAGCAAATACTAAAACAGTCAGTTGGTTCCCTAATGTTGTCTCATTGTAGTCTAGTAGTTAAACCAGCAGCCCCGGACTTGGAAATGGTGCTCAGGTATCCTAGCTCTGCCACTGGACTGCTGGGTCAGCTTTGGGCAAGTTACCTTGTTTCTCTGTGCCTCAGTTTCCTCGGGTATAAAATTGGGGATAATGCCGCTGATCTTTGTAAAGTGCTTTTAGATCTGCTAGAGAAGAGCTAGCAATGATTATGTGCACTATTATTCAAAGGAAAATAAAGAAAAGCAGAGTGCGTGCTTGCTCTGAATCAGCTCCTTACTATTGATGCCTGAAATGTTCCTGGTTACAGAGCTCTTGTAGTGCTCTCGCTGTTATATCCTGCTATTCTTCTGCACAGCAGCGGGCGCTTCTAATAGTCCTGAAAACAAGACAGAGCTTTTATCGTAATAATGTATTTAATGCGGTTTACCAATCCAGGGGCAGTGCACTGTTTGTTTCCTTTTTTAATGACTCTTACCATGTCTTGCTGTGATGGAACAAGAATCCATGTGGTGGGGTGACTGGTTTCTGCTTGGACATGGTCTCTCTCTCTCTCTTCCATCAAATCTTTCCTTTCTCAGAAAGACCGGAGAATGCTGGCAGATTCAGTTTCCTTTAGTGCAACAGATATTGCAAAGAGGTTTAAAGGAAGGTGACACTCAAATGTAGTGATGATATCCCAGTTCTGTCTATGCTGTCAGATAAGGACCCTGTCCAGATTGCACAGTATATCAAGGCCGGGCAGCTCTGCATTGGTCTGAAATGACTTTTTGATTGTGATATCAAGCCTTTTTTTTTCTACCCTAATATCCTTTAGGAAGTGTTCCCGTCATGCTGCAACCAGCTAGGTGCTGCTCTGACATTAAATCTTCTGCTTTAATCACTGTCTGTTGGGAGTGATTTTTTCCTTCCCCTTGCTACCTTCTACCATCTTGCAGTTCTTTGTCTCTCAAATAAAGGAGCTGCCTTTAAAAACACGGTGATAAATACAACCCGTAGAGCCATTCACCTTGTAAACATAGCAACAAGATCATCAGGATGTGCTAATACAGATTTATCCAGGATACAACCAGCCTGCATCTGTGATTCTGTCCTAGCCTGTGGCATGAATTCTCTTGAATAACCTTGAATGTGTGTGTATTTGAAAGAAAAGCTTCCTGCAGGATGGCAAGCATGTCCAGTGGGCCAGTGTTATAGCTTAAAACCTTTCTCCTCATTGCCATCTCTACTCTTCGTGGTTGGGTGACGGTAATAGTCTTAACGGCAAAGATAGGATAATAGTAATGATACTTAGCATTATTTAGCACTTAGAGGGCACGTCTACACAGGACACTAAAGGCACAGTAGATTAAGTCTACTGCGCATTAGCACATCATGGCAAAAGCCGTGCTAATGCACTAATGTGCAGTAAATTAGTCTACTGTGCATTTGCATCACTAAAAATCCATGCACTGGTGCTGCTGCTCAGTAGCACCACTTACTGTCCCTTGGGTTAGTACTTGTTATTACAGATACTAAACTTAATGTGCAATAAGATCAGTGCATTAAAGCAATAAGAACAGTGCATTAAGGCACATGTAGACGTGACCACAGAGCACTATTCAGCTAAGGATCTCAAAGCACCTTCCCAACAGTGCTCAGTACAAAAGACCCAGAGAGAATGAGATTGTATCTGGCTATTCCAGGATCTTCTCTCCCTTTTACACAATCCAGTACCATCTTCCTTCAGGGGAAAGTACAAGAAACTCGTCAGTAGATGCTGACCAGGATGTTCTTGGCGAAATATCTGACTTAACCTCAACGAGCTCGAGATTGACTCTTGCTCCTGAAGTATGGCGGTTTACTTTTCTTTCAAGACTCCTTTTCATTTCTTAATCCTTCCAATTAAAGCTCAGCTTTGCATTTTTTGTTAGAAATAGCTGGTCTGTTTTTTTGTTTTAATCCAGGTAGACTCATGCCAATGAGTTCTTCCAGACACCGTATAAGCAATATGCAGAAGCGCTTCCTTTTCACTATTCTGAATGAGCTCCTTTCAGTTTTATTGGGCATCCTTTGAAATGATTGAATTAGACATTCCCAAACTGCCTTCTCTAGGCCATTCATTATTTTGTGTCCTTTTATCATATCCTTTAATACTCACTTCCTTATACAATCCCTACATTTTTCCAGTCTCTTCAAATTAGGTGCGTTTTTCATGCCACTGATCACTTTTACCCATGTCCAATCCCCCCTCTGTTTCTGCTATCTCCTTTCAGAGAACTGCATGTGTTATTCCAGGTAAGAGCAGGTATCATCTCCTCCTGGGGGGAGCTAAGGCACAAAGCAGACTTGGCCCAAGTCATTCAAGTCCATGTCAGAACTGGAAGTAGAAGCCATACCTCCTAGCAAGAGTCTTCAACTATGTCCTACGTTGCTTTCATGCATTGCTTGACTGGTTATAGGTGATGTGACAACTTAGCAAGTCACAGAATATATGTCAGAAGTAGCTATCAGAGGTCACTTCAGTGTCACCAAGACAAAGGCAGAAAGTGAGTTTTGTCTGCCTTTTCTTCCATGGGGAATCGTAGTTTCCTGGAAACAGTTGTGCTTGTTTGTTCTCAGGATGACCCCTTCTGGACAGCTGGTGCCCTCTCAGCTTCTGATTACGTGGAAGCTGGGAACCAATCTGTCTGTAAGCTGGAAGATATGTTACAGATCATAAAGGACAACACTTCATTGATCCTGAACTTCCAGAACCTGCCACCGGATCATCCTTACCACAGCACTTACATCAACATCACCCTGGAGACCATCCTGATGTCGGGGATTCAGCAGCAGGCAGTAAGTTGTGCGTCACTTTGCATCTGGAGGCTTGTGGGTTGGCTGCTTTCAAGCATGACAGTAGGACAATTGCTTTAAAAATGGGAGAAATCCAGGTCTGTGCTGACTTGTTTCCAGTTGGATTCACTGTGCAGGGAACTGGGCGCTTCCCTTGCTTATGGGATGTTTTCAATAGCTGGGGCTTTGAAGGTTTAAGCTGGATGTCTTTCTCACAGGGCTACCTACTTTATTCTTCCCTTTTTTCCTCTACCATAAAGGTTTGCGGGACCTTCTCTTCTTAGCCATGATGGGGTTTTGTACACGCCACATTTTTTGTTTTTTCTTGCACTGCAACTGCGTGATTGTTTGCATGAGTGGGTTTTCCAGATGCTTTAAAAGTCTTTCTGCCACATTGAACTAAAACTCCTTGAATGTAGTTTAGTTTGGCTTGCGAGGAATTAAAGTGTTGCACCCATGGATTTGTTGTGTGCAAACACAAAGGCACTCAAAGATGCGTAATGAGCCTCTGTCCACCAGATGCCACTGCGACTTTTTTGTAGTCCACCCCTTTGAATTACTTTTGCTTTTGAATTGCTTCCGCTTTTTCTTTTCCTTGTGTGGTTTGCTGGCTCCTTGCTTCCATGGCTGCATAGCAAGGCATGGGCACGGTGTGTGTGGGGGAGGGCCTTGGGCTGGGGAGGCAGCGCTGGACTGTCCCGCCTTCCTGAGGTGCCGGCCAGGCACCCAGCTTCATTCATTTGAAAACCTAGCATGTGTAAACGCAGATACGACGCTCCAAAGCTTAATTCATTTGAAAACCTAGTGCGTGTAAACACAGATGTGACACTCCAAAATAAACAAGTTTAAATTCTATAGGCCTATTTAATTTAATAAGGATTACGACATGTGGTATGTACAGGTGCCTAATGAGGCTTCTCAGCTTGTTTCCCAGTTAAGTAACCACACTCAAGCTCATATTGCTATCCGGGGTTGTTCAGATCCCAGAGTGCCTCTGTTTTATAATCTGGGAGCTGTTTGGGCGAACTCATTACTTTGGAAAGCCACAGACCACCTTGTGTGGCAAGGTACCGGCACTTGAATTGGGAAGAAGGAAAGACAGCCTCCCCTGGCCCCAGTCCAGAGGTAGCTCAGCTCTGACGTTCTGCAAGACTAAGAGATGCTAGTGTCCTGTCACTGGGCATCCAGGTTGCAGAGACATGGTCCCAGATCTCTGGTAGTGAAGGGCTTCTTTTTGCTCAAAGCAAGCAGTACCTGAGACTTTATAAGTTCAAGACAGGGGGGTGCAGAGGAAAGAGGCTGATGCTTGGAGCCAGGCTTCAGTGTAAAATGGAGGAATTGCTTCCCTTCGGAGGAGGTGGGACCTAGCAGGGATGAGAAATCAGTGCCAGTCAGGCTGTTTTCTCTTAAACCTAATATTTTGCCCTGCTTTCCTGAAGAGAAGGAGAAACAAATCCAGAGGCAGTTCCTTTAGTCTGAAAGCCCTGTCCCAGGGCCTATCCTAAGACAGACCAGTAGCAGATCTTGCCAACCTTGGTCTGCTAACCCGCTCCAGATGCATTTCCAGCACCCTTCTCTGACCTTCCAGAGACCAAGGGCTGGAGAATAAGTGCAAAGAATGAATCTCAAACCACCATCTCCCTCTGACCCTGTCAGCTGTTGTCGCCTGAGCTCACCGTGCTAGGTCTTCTCCTGGAAGAAAGCTTCCTTCTTCCCCTTCACATTGGAAACAAGCCCATCCCCTGGAGCAATGCAACCCTTTAAGTATAGGGTCTCAGTTGCCCCTGATCAAACCAGGAAACCTTCTAGTCATCACCTCTCCCCCTAATTGTAACTGGCTTAAAATAAATGGAGCTGCAGAGCTGAGCAGCTGTGTGAGTTGTGCCTCTTAAAATATTTCAAGCTTCCCAATTAGGCGAATAATGCAAATGCATGGAAAGAAAAAGTGGAAATGTTTAGCGATCACACTTAGGAAGTGATTAGCTTGGGGGAAGGATCTAATTTTAGCCTCCATCTGTCTTTTGAGTGACTGACGCTGCCATACCGTTTTCAGTGAAACATGTGGCCCCACCAACAGAGATCCTTTCCATAAACTCACCTGAATTTCTTATCTGCTCCCCTTCAAAGTCATGGGGGAATCATGTTCCTTTCGCATTGCAATTACCTAGGTGATCCCATAGTGAAGAAGTGAGCAGGATCTTTATAAATGTAGGCCTTCCTCATGCATTTTGAAGCCCGCTGCCTAGCTATATCAAGTAAAGTCCTTTTTGTCCCAGGATCCCCGCTTCTTGCAGTAGCATCTTCACATGCTATGTTAGGTGAGCATTGATTAGTTGTTATATGTATGTTGATAGACTTGAAGGCCCAGAGGCACTGTTTTAATGCATATCAGGCTGATCAAAGGGTAGAAAGGGTAGAGCTAGTCTGGGCTGGGGACACACGGGTAGATGGCCGGAAGCTGTCCCAACCCAGCTGTCATCTTCATTTTGACCTGCGGCACTACAGACCACTTCCCTGGTCCCCGCTTGTGAGGAATTGGGTAAAGAGCGATGCTTTTTGATGGGCACAAAATGTGTGGGCATAAGGCTGTTCTTGTTCCTTTGCCCTTCTTATCCGCGGATGAGAAGTTGGCACGAGAGCCCACTGAGTCAGCCAGCAGTCCCCATTTTCAGAATGTGTTTTAATGAAGATGTGCGAGACTTTAAGCAGCTCTGAGCTGATTAGACCATTAGGAGCCAAGCCAAGCCAGAGACTCTAGCCTGATTTCTCTTGCTCCATGAGACCGTAATCCTCACAACCTCCCAGCTGCAGCTTGTAAGAACAGCCTCAAGCAGGCCACATTGCCGCCTTTGAGGCTTGACTCTTTAATTGCATTGGCTTTCTATGCTGACTGAGTCTCCCCCCAGGTGATGTGGCTGCCCGATACGGAGCGGCAGCTGGTGAGGCAGATTGCGCCTGGTTTCCAGCAGACTTCTGGCATCAAGGCCGGCGTCGAGCGCTTGAGAGAGAAGGGCATCAAGAAGCTGAACCTGCGCTACACCAAGGTCACCAGCGAGGACATCAGGTACAGCCCTTTGCTTTTGTGACTGTGAATCTCCCCTTGTTCTGTGCCTTTGTGTAGACGTCATCCTGCATGCATTTGCACATCCAGAGGGAGATAACCCGCTGTGGCCCATTCATAAGGAGACTTCCCATATTCCTGAAATCGGCCCTTGAGCCTGAATTGCACAAATTGCCATACGTAGACTCATAAAGAAGTAAGGCTGGAACTGACCTCTATAGGTCATCCAGTCCAACCACCTGCCCGTTCCTCTCCAAACCATCCCATACAAACCCATTGTGTAACCTCTTAGCAAGAGTCAACCCCAACACAATACAAGACATACACCATTTACCTGTGACAGGTAAGGCAGGAGGACTACTACTGCAAAGGTGCTGGAGCAAGGGTAAGTGGGATGGAGGGGGCAGGTGGGGAGAAGAGGCTGTGGGGAAGGGGAGGAAACAGGGTCCCAAGGATAAGGGGGGCAAGCATTTGTTGGGGGGGG